AGACTACTTTGTTGATAAAATCCTTTCAGTGAATCCAGTYTGCCCAGTGAATTAAATAAAACACTGCTGTTCAGTGTTACTTTTCAGTATAAAATGGGCTTCACACCACAGTTGGTAATCTGAGTGAGTCACTGTAGTTACTGTAGTGAATTTTTAAAATATTTTGGAAATGGGTTTGTGTCTTTATATTTTCTGGCTGTGATCAATAAAAAGTGCRGCTCCATTGTTAGTTATAGACTCATATCTATGCCCTTTATTCAGACTTATTATTTGAAAAGGCTTTTAGATGTTTTCTTTGAAAGCTTTAAACCTTAATAAGATTCTCTGTGGATATTTTAACACTATTTTACAMAGTGATGCAGCCTATAAATTAATTCACACCAACTTTTTGCAGCTTTTATTTCCCCTAATTGTTCCATGTAACCTAAAATTAATGTTTACAAAATAGATTAAAACCACCTTTGGCTATAATTTATTAAATGAAATGCAGCTGGTTAGTTTGCAGACCATATTTCTTAAGCTACCCAGAAACAAAATTCATGTAGGCATTGAAGTTCAGGTCACCAATGACTTTCAGAGTTAGTCCTATGTTTTATATTTTATACTTGTTTGGTTATTGCATATTTTGCTGGAGTGCTCAGGAAAGTCAAATGGATTATTTGTGTATTGAAACACCTTTCCTGTCTTGAAATAAGAAAGACTTATCTCTGAATGCCATCACAAAGCCCCATTAGACTAGATTTTGTTCTTTTTTTACTCAGCCCAAGGATGCAGCAGGAGACAGGGGGGGTTCTTGCCATGGGTTTAGCAGGAGCTGCAAACACACCCAAGGCCAGGGCCATTCCTCTGGTGACAGAAGAGGTGGAGCCTCTTACGCTTTGAGGTGGAGGTTGATGTCTTACACTTTGAGCTGCCTACTTCATGAACAGTGGTGCTTTCAAGCCAATCCAAGTAGAAACACAGGTGGAAGCTTTGCTTGCACTTCTAACAGTGTTCACCACTATAGAGATATATTTATTCTTTCTTTCAGCAGAGGACAGTTATGGGATGGATGGGAAGGCTAAGCTGCCCAGTTTCACTGGCGACATTGACTGGCAAGGACTGGAAGACTTGTACAGTGTGAATGAAAGTGTGTATGAATACAGACACAACTTTAGACTTAGTCTGGCTGACTGGACTAATTACTTGAAGGATGTAGATAGAATGTTTGCACTGCTGAACAGTTACTACCAGCAAAACAAAACGGACAACACTGCTCGAAGCCACGGGGACGGGGAYGAATCATCCACGCCGCTCACCTCGGTGGAAATGAGTTCTGCTGAGGAGTCCAGCGGCCTGACTGCAGAAGAGTCACAGCTTATTGTGCCAACAGACTTAGCAGCCCTTGCTTTGAGCACGGTGAATTTAAGTCAGGAGAGGAAACTTGAATTAAACAATGATATTCCTGAGAAAAGTAGTTTGATTGACGCACACTGGAGAAACAGTCATCGAGCTGAAGAATGGATGGAGGATAAAGAATYGGACCGTTTTGATATGGATTTCAGTGGAAACGGTTTGATAGAGTTGGAGTCCCGGCACAGCTTTATGCTACAGCCCATCAGCATTCCTCAAAAAGACACTCACAAGGATAGTGACACTGTGGAAGATATATTTGAAGATCAAATGTATCTTCCCATGAGGTCTGACGAACCATTCGTTCATCRGACTGTAAATATATCCATTAGGGATTTACCTGTCAGTACCCAGGAACCAGGAACTTTCTTTAAAAAGAACGAACAGAGTCTTGCAGGAGAAAGTTCACAGATCCTAAATGCAGAAGGCAGTGCCTCAGCTCCACTCTCCTTGGATTAGATCGAGTTGTAAACCGTTAAATAAGTTCTCCTTTTTCTTATTAGCAAACTAATAAAGGTAATCACGACAACTGACATTCCATGTTTATTGTAGATACATTTTGCAGCTAAATTGAGCCCAATTCAGTATTTGTCTCTGTGCATTTTTTTATTCACATGCACGTGTGTTCACTGTAATTCTTCACACTGGGAAGCAAGATGTCTGGTTTTTCATTAAAAGAAACAGTGTTAACTTTCAAATGCAGTAGCACATTCTCTGAAAGCTAAAAATTATTTCTTTGAAGAGGATGTTTAAGTTACTTTCTGTTTTCAGATGACCCCACCAGGAATGAGTGTTTCAGTTCATCCAATATGCCTGCATAATGTCTCTTTCATCGATTATTTTAACCACTGGCAATTCTCAATGTCACACTTTCAAGTAAAATGCACTTTTAAAATCTGTATGCCATACCATTTATGCATTCAATACCTTGCAGGTTCTTAGTTTGCTCGTTGTCTTATGAAATTGTGAAACCAATAAATAGACTGACCTGAAAGAGGTAAACAGCGTGGGTTGTGGAAAACAGACTCTTTGAATATTATTTTAGCAAAAATATTGCATGTTTTTGTTACTTTAATTAAATTTATTCTCACAAAGGTATGGCTAATGATTGTTAACTGTAGAAGGATTTGTTTAAATTGGATTGTTTCCCTATGTGTTGATATTGTCAGTATTAAAATTCCATTAATTTTTTTGTCCTTTTTTTTTTTCCTGATACTGGTAGAAAGGTTTACATCAATACATAAATGCTTTTTCCACCCCACCTCATTTTTATTATTCTGAACAATATCTTGAAAGCATTATTAAAATTTTGAGTCTTAATTTTTTTTTGTTTTGAACAGGCCTTAAAGGGAATGATAAAATTATGTTAGTTTCCCATTATTTTAAACACAAAAGGAACATGAGGGTAAAAAATAGTAGTTTAGTAATATTTTTTGTTGTTGTATTCTAAATTTTTTCTTGAACTTTACCAAACATTAAATTTTATGACGTATAATACAAAAATTACTTTGAAAAATCTATATTACTCTAAACTTAATGTTTTCCCTTGCTTTTTTATAAATTTCTAAATAATTATCCCAACAACAACAAAAGAGCATTACCTCAAACAGATGTGATTCCATAGTGTCCAACTCACAGGTGCATTTCCTACCTGTTACATGTTATTTAGTGTAGTGAATCTTTTCTGGCTATTGCAAGCGCTGCAGGTTAAACTTACATTCATTACATTGTATTTTAAGTTGAAACTTTWAAAAAAGGAGATTCTTTTAGTAGGATTTTAATAATTTTAAGAAGCAGTCTTTTTGATGGACTMTGTAAATATGTTAAAATTACTAGTTCTTTATCTGATGTATGTGTCATGGGCTGATTGATAGAAAAACGTATTTATGGTCATGAATGATGCTATTTGTACATAGGTTTTAAGTTACTAGGATACAAACTGTGTTTTTAAATCCTGTATAATATTTCTGTGATACTTTTATAGTACAATTCTGGCTTCGGGAAAGTCTAGAAGCAATATTTCTTGAAATAAAAAGTGTTTTACTTTACCTGCTTCAGAGAAGTCCAGATGATCCAGTTTTCCTCCTGATTAAGTTTTACTTCAAAAATACGTTAACAGTTTCAASTTTAAAAATCCATTCACATTAAAAACAACAGGTAACAAAATAACGCACAACATTCTGTTAGTTATAAATTATTCCTGGAGATGTGAATAATATTTTTTGTTTGTTTAAGACATGCTGTGTTTCAAGAAAGTATAAAGGACACTCACTCTGTAGGCAAGAGATAGAGAGAGCAATGAGCTCTGATTCTTGCTCTCTTGGAAACATGCATCARATATAAAACTAAACCAAGTTAAAGAGGCCAAAATCTGTCATATCTCTAAGGATGCAGCCTAAGCAGTGTGTTGCTGTCCCAGTATGTTTTGCACTTCTTTCTGCACACTATTTCTTGTCCCATAGCTGCGGTAGTTGAGTCCATGAGCAGTGCATGGCGTGATTGTCTAAAGCTTTTACAAGCAGTTGCAGGCTCAGGAATGAAATCAGTGCCTCCATTGACTTCATTGGCGGGTGCTCCTCACAGCAGGCAAGGGGATGGCCAAGGGGGGTGACCTTTGTGGCCTTTTCTGATCTGCAGAGCAGTGGCAGCTGTGCCTCATCTAAAAGGCAGTACATGGTTTTTTACTTTCTGAAGGGTGCCTGAAGCTGGACAGAAAGAACTTTAAAACCTGCACATCTTYGGGAGGTAGTAATGTTAGGTGGAAAGTTTCATCTGGAATTCAAAATAAGGCAGCKAGAATTGCCCTCACATCTTGGACAGTGTGAGACACCTTCCTGAGCCAAGATGTRTAGTTCTAACTCCCCAACATGGACAGGGACATGACTTAGAGCTGTTACCAGTAGGTGAATTTTGTTGTACCTGAGGTAAATGCACACTAGAAGCTTTGCAAAAACCAAACATTTGGATCAGAGCATTCTTCTGGAATTCAGCCACATGTAGGTTTTTAAGAAAGTTGAGGGGAAGTATTTTAGAGTGCAGGTCTGAGCACAGACTACCCCCACTCTCCCAACCAAAATCCCTTGAGATGCCTGCAGCTGTTTACATTGGAAGTCACACAAGCACAGTCAGAGGGGATCTCTTCTCAGTCAGGGCTGAGAAGCCAAGAGGTGCAGCATCCCTGTCCAAGGAAGATCTGCCCAGGACTAGACTTGAGTCCTAAGCAGCCCTGGGTGTTTGGTGCCTGGTACGTGTGCTGCTGTAACAAAACTTCTTCCTTTAGCTTCARCAAAACCCAATCCTGTTTGAGTGCTCTGACATCATTTTCCAGTGAGACTCGATGTGCAGTGAACGGGGTCCAAAGCAGAGGTCATTTCAGAAATGCTGTGTCACACGGGAGGGGAGCAGGAGGGCGCTCAGAGCTGCTCGGTTCGGGGCAGCAGATGTCAGTGCAGAGCCGCACAAGCGCCTCTCCTTGAGCCCCGCATCCCTCCCTGTGCTTCCAGCCACTGCCGAGGCTGCATCCATTCAGTCTTCAACCAGCAGCGGCACCAGAGATGTGCTACAAATCCACTCATTTCATCCACTTCCTTGCTTTAACAGCTCTGATCTTGGACACTGGTGACATGCAGGGGGATCCAAAAGATGCTTTTTTATGTAATTATATGTATTGGAAAWGAAAACACATAAGTCTCACTTTGAACTCAGAAATCAGAGAGGATCTGGACCCAATCAACACACATGATATGCTATTTTTTATTTCCAAGTATCAAGTATTCAAGAGTTTGTTTTGTAAACAYATGTTTACAACAGATGTTGACAGTAAATTTCATTAAATCATGGGTTATACAACTTCAAAATTATTCTAAGTTCTGTTGAGAAATAAATATCAATTAAAAAAAACCATACAGGAGCCTAAAGTATGCAAAAATACCCAGCATAAACCAATTATTCTCTTTTTACCACAGCACAGCACCCACACACTCATACGGTCAGACATACTCTACAAATCTCCTTAAGACTCTACACATTTGCTTAATAATGAGTTTTTTAGAAACTAAACAGTTACAGGCAGTGTGCCCACTCCATGCTCCTACAGTACTACCCAGACTGTTGCTGTTCTGCACAAATCATTTGGTAGAGGTATGCACTGCAGCCAGGGGCCAAACTCCCATGTGCTCAGCTGGTGAAAAGGGCAGGTCTTCTTTCAGGAAAGCCTCCACACAGCTGGGGAACTTACTGACACAAAATTTTCTTTTTATTTTATTTTTTTTTACTGAGACGCGACTTTAGATGATTTTGTACTTTTTTAATTTGTTTTGAAATTTCTCTCCATGTTTTCAAATATGAAGTTTGCTACAGAGGCAAAATTTCTGCCCTGTGGGTCAGAAGTGTAATTACTGCTATTAGTGCTTTCAGTGCATGAGCAGCCCAGGCACAACAACACAAAAAAAATTGTGGTTCAGAATTCAAAATGGAAGGGAAAAAAATGTTGTCTTCAAGATTTTAAAACCAAATTCCTCTGTTGTAAATCACAGCTCACTTTAAAGTCAACCAGACTTTGGTTAAAGTCAATCAAATTCTAGAGACAGAATTTGCTCTTTTTCTACCTCTCTCTTCCTGGTATTCTAAGCAAGAACACTCATATTTCAGATCTCAATCCACATTTTTCATTCAAACACTAACATTGCTTGGTTAAGTGGTTCCAGAATTTAGCCCACTGTTTCTTATCATTACTATAAAATTTATTTTTAGCCCCTGCTTAAGCAACTAAATAARGTAACATGCTACAGCAGGCTGAATACATTCTACATTAAACTTCTGTGGTCTGTGTAGCTTTTATTTTATCTGTTAGTGCTGGGCCAAATCCTACCCTGACTCCTGAAATTACTTGCCCACAGAAGAGCTAGGCAGGAATTGGCCCAGCAGGAATGACAAACACTGTCTTTGTCGGAGCAGTCCAGACTTTGGGAACAGAAACACATGCAGTTGCATCATTGACATGCCTTGAATATGTCATTTAAGCCATAGTGAATACATCATAAAATACTTCAGTACCTATTAGCACCACAGTGTTGTTTAGTCATTTGTCCAGAGATTATCAAGCTGTCTCACCCTGCCTCAAGGTGAACAATGTTTTGGATGCTTTTTGTAGCCCTTCATTAATTCCACAGCTTTTCACCTATTCTATATAATGAACAAAACATTATTACAGGATAACATTGTGACAGCTGGTTTGAGATTGAAAAAACAAATACAGTACACACAATGGATAATGCAATAATTAGAAGAGTAGACTGGAACAGGAACCTGGATAAATATGCATCTATTATGTAACACTTGAAGTCAAGAAAACTTTGGAGCTACTTTGAWATTGCAGAGCTATGTCCGTGTTTAAAAGGCTGTATTAATAAAAAAAAAGCTTAACTGAAGGACTGAAGGGGTGACTGCTGAAGTTATTAACTGTAGTTATTAACTGTAGTTTATTGTAATGAATATGACCACAGGATATGGACAGTGTTAAGTTCCTTGCGAATTTACACAATAAATTATGAAGAAAATAGAGGAAAAATTTCCTTCCTGAGGATCAGTTAGGCTTTCAAACCTTTGGCCACAAAGTAAMATGTATGAGTGATTTTCAGTGTAAAGAAGACAAATATGTGAACCCTGGCCATACCCTCACACTGAAGGCTCCACATCCCTACTCTGTGACAATGTTTACATGTAATCTTTTTGAACTGTTATTTGTCAAACAAGATGTTAAAAGAAAAAAGAAGAATRCCTTAATTTCGTACCAAAGAATAAGTCTACCACCATGATGTTGCCTGCCCATTTTCTAAGCACTTTAAAGTGATTAAAGTGTCCAAAAAATCAAGTTCAGTACATGAAGAACCTGAAATGTGTTGATTACAGGTTTAATYTACAAAAGATTAAAGCAATGACAAATGCAGATTGCAGTCCAGGTTAATCTTTGTTTTAAGCCCTGGAAAGCAACCACAGCTGGATGGCTTCAGCTGGGGGAACCCAGATTCTGAARCATGCAGCATGGCAGCTCCAAGGCATTGCAGAAGACACATTATTGAGCAAACAGAAAAAGATAAACTTGTTTAKAAAGTTTTTTGTCTTTGATCTCCAAAAATAGTAGTAATAACCAGTGAATAGAGCATAAAGCTAAACAAGCACTTGATATTCCCTAGTTCACACACACTTGCTAAAGCACCAGCTTGCTAACATCCAACCCAAGGTATGGCCTATTTCTTCAGCCTCAACATTGGACGGGTGAGGCCAAGGATCTGGCTCCAAAGTATGAGTAAGACACTTTGGACCTATTTATCATCAGTTTTATGTCAATACATCAGCAAGAAGAGCARTGGAATCAGGTGCACGGGAAAATGYAGTAAGGCAGCAATTATTCAGGCATTTTGGGGGAAAGCCTGCAAGAACAGTGCAGGGGAAGCTGGAGTTCCACTGAGCAGACAGTGCTTTGCTCCATCTTTGTGGGATGCTGATAATTTGTTTTCTGAACCTCTAGGTCGAAATCCTGTGAAAGGGTACAATTCAAGTCTACAGCATCACTTGAGCAATATCATTGGTTCTAAGGTCAGAAAGATGCCTTTATTTAATCCATCTCCCCATATAGCCCACAGGTTTTCGGCCAGAAATTCTTAAAATAAGTAAATGGCAGGAAGAGCTAGAATGGATGAATCTCAGACCATRTCCATAAAATATTTTGAATTTGAATTCTACTTGAAAATGACAGCTCTCCTCCATTGCCAAATATGTAAGTAGCCACATCRGAATGCCATGGGAGAGTTCTCAAGYGTTACTTTGTGCTATTCTGGTTACAATTATCACTGAATCCATAGTGGGGAAAAGCTCACCATGGAAATACTCTTTGGATAAAGGAATTTCTTTCTGAAAGCAGACAGGATTCAGTCCCATACTTACATATGTGCATTATTTTTAAGTGCATTACTTAGGTATATAAATTCACCCACATATTTAAGTGTTTTGTTGGATCAGAGCCATAGTGAATGAATAATTAATACTACAAATGAATAACCAATATTTTTTTAAAAACCCATCTTTTTGAAAACAGTATTTTCAAGTGTTTTTAATTAATTCAGAGCCTCTCAAATGTACATTTTTAATACCTAGTTGGAGATTTGTGCCCCTACTTCACTTATATAACAGCAAGTTCTGAAGAACTGAAAGTTACTATTAAAGATACATAGGCTGGCCAAAGAACTGAAAGTTTCCAAACAAACTTAAATTGCATCATAATATTTGAAGTTTCTTGCAGCTGCTCACAGTATACTGAAAGAATATAAAATGTCATCAGTTCCAAATTATACCATATTATATCCTGTGTGCTCATGGGGAAGAAGGGRACAAAAACCAGAGAGCTTTTGCCTAAAACTGGAAACACAGTCCCACTCTCCAGTTTATTCCAGCCCCCCAAAGATCTACAAATGATCTCTTGAGGGTGCTGCACTCAAAAGCATCCAAGGCCAAAGCTGCATCCMTTCTGAATTCTCCTTTTAGAGGAAACAAGGGTGAAGGGGAGGCRATGCAGGAACTATTAACCTGTTCACTCAAATCCATATGTTTGGGCTACTTCTCCTCCCATGTTCCTCACTCTAAATCAGAACTGGTGCAGGAGGAACTTAAGTCTGTCCCTAGGAGGGCACGATGGCACTTTGGCCATCACCAGATGTTGTTGCTCCATGTTATCACTGGTGAACTGCAGGCAGGAGACTTGGATTTGCTACCAACAGCAGCCTGCAGGTGAGCAGGGTGGGACTCCTGCTTTACCTTCTCTTGTACTCACTGCTACCAAACCTTTTGTGTTTTGGGATAGAGAGGGAAGGTGGCAAAAATTACAACTTAATTGAATTTTCTATTCTGTGGTGAGAAGATCTCACAGTAGGAAGACAGCACGGGCCCCTTCACTGAATGACAGGCAAAAAGTTCTTTTTTAGTTCCTGTGAAGTTGTTTAGCACCATGTGTCAACCATGACTACTGCTAGGGATGCACTCAATGCCTCTGGCAATTCTGCTCCCTCCAGCAATGACAGCCTCAGAAAAAAAGTGTTTGTTCAGCAGGTGTCAGTCCATATATTAATCAATGACAATGTTGGAATTGACACTTCTAGCAAGTTAATGTGTATCCCCTGCATAGCTTTATTGGCTTTGTTTAGACTATTATAGCTTACTCACAAGAAACTCTCCTTCRGGAATCAATCAAAAACTGGCCAGAGTTTGGGTTTTCTTTCTTTCAGAGGACACTGACTTAATTGATTTTATAGAAATTTATCTGCATCGCCAAAATTATCTATATCCCAAAAGAGGAACAAATTTGTTTGAAAAGTAAGGAATTACACTTTGTTTAGCATATAATTCTCAAAGAAAAATTAACATTAAAATTTAATTTTTAATTTAAAATTTAAATTGTAAATATGTAAAGATGGCTTTTTCAGTATTTCCAAAGTTAATGTCTTCCCTTCCCCATTCCACTTCTTCTACCATTTAGAAAATATGAATGTTCTCAGAAGTTGAAGGGTCAGGCTATCTTAAAAACAGATGGTCTTCATTGCAACAAGCTCTGAATTCCCTTGAAAGCTCAGAAGCAGCAGCAGCTGCAGAAGTGTCACTTTTATCACTCTCATTCTTTGGCATCAGTGCCATTAGTTCCTGACARTCCTAATCTGCTCTCCCTTGGTTTTTGAATGGAACAGAAGCACATAAGGCATGAAATATAAGAGATCAGGATAGATGATTAAACTTCAGTCTTTTACAATTCACTAAATGCTCTGTTTCTGAGGTATTTGAAAAGATTGTCACTCTTCACCTCTTCCTGTGGTGATTAAAATGGGAACATGATTAAAATGGTTAAGTGTTGGGCTGCAATTACACTTTGTCCTACTTTGCCAGTTTTTGCCATGGCAGAAAATTTTTGGTGCAACAAGTATTTGAGACTGAAACAAAAGGAAACATTTTTTATCATCTATTCTGATCTCCTATAGCAAAAAAAAAAAAAATATATATATATATACACCAAACATCTTTGAGTTCATGTGAGGAAATTTATTTCTAGGGACAAGAAGTGTAGAAGCCAACATCTTAGGGAGTGTGTGCTGACTGAGGACATGTTGYATCTGGTGGCTGCATAAGAGGAAAAAACATTCTCAGGCTTAACCCAAAATAGCTATTAATATGGACAGAATAGTGGGAAGTGATGAAAAYAATATTCTTCTATGTTTGGATTAGAAAAGTTTGAGTTTCCAGACAGAAAGAGTAAGAATTGTTACGAGCCACATAAATGGACTGAGACATTCTGAAATAAGCAGCCCCACGCTGGTCAAGAGGATACAGGTGATGACAAAAGGCAGTTGGCAAAGGCAGAGAGGGAGAGTTACTCTTCCCAGGACAACTCAATGGATGCTAAGGAGAGACTGCCTTTAATTTCAAGGACTTGGTTCCATATAATGTTTGATCAATATACATATTCTAAATTCAAAAATTGAATCAGGAATAACCATTCAAAAAGATGCAGAAGCTCTGCTCTTTCCTATTTGGTTTCACACAAGTTCTCTACTCAGCAAAACCCAAACCAGACTATCACTCAGTCCTCTTAAAAGACTGCTTTTCATTTTCTATACTACTAAGACTTCCCCTGCAGGGCACAATACAGCTTTGACATCCTAGTGTCCAACTGCAGTCATTTTCTGCCCTTTGAGACATCATTAGTACCTCATGAGCATGGCACTACAAAGCCTCCAGAGCAAGAAATGAAATGCCTAGCACATTTGATTAGAAAGTCTCAATCATCTCCTGGGCAGAGAGCACACTACAGTAATTTGGAATAAGCAAAGGCCACATCACGTCCTGTGTGTCCACGCTTGCCAATAATGTCTGTTCTTAGCTCTTCCCCTGGAAGGCCAAAGAAGAGACAAACTCATTCTTTGCCTTCCCAGGAGCTTTCAGTGAAGCTGAGAAAAGGAAAGGCAGCCATGTGTGGGACAAACCACACAACCAGGACCTSCAGGCCTGTCCCACCAGCCTGTCCCGCACCGGGCAGCCACAGAGACAGAAGTGTGACAGAAACAAGAGGGTCTGAGCCAGCCCTCCCGTCCCAGCTGTCCTGGGTGTCACAATGCTCAGTGCCTCAGTGGTGCCCGGAGTGCAGGGAGAGGCACCAGAGTGGGCAGGCTGCTCTCAGCCCTCTGAGGGCTCCTCTGCTCACCTGACAGGTGGGAGCAGCACCAGCCTGAACTCTGCTGCTGCYGGTGCCAGGGACACGCCAGGTCCCGGACCCCAGATGAGGCCATCGGCTCTCCCTTGGGACTTTCTCACTGAAGCTGAACTAGACWGGCACACAGAGCTGAAGGACAGCCAAACTTCCTATCAACCTATAGCCAGCTGTTTTCTTCTTCAGGAAGGATGGATTTGGTGCTAGTAACAGCCACGCAAGTAACACTGCAGAAATACGCACATGGTATGTGTGTATGAGTCCTAAATCTTAATGTTACTATAAACCAATACTGAAGTTTTTTACTTCAAGCATTACAGTTTCCTGTAATATAATTTGTGAAGAATGACTACATCCCATCAAATGAAAATCAATGYACATTTTGACAGGATAAAGACGTTACAACTCAACATTTGCAAATGTTACCTGATGCATAACTCTCGTATGGCTTGACATGTAATTAACAGTACTTTAAAMCTTATGTTATTTTTTAATTTAATGATTATGCCTGAAAATAGCCCCTTTCAAATTCAGTTGCAGTAATGTCTTTAAAAGCAAGCTTTAAACTTAATTTGCTGCGCATACAATTATCCAAATAAGTTGCATAGTTTAAATAAGTTCAGTTGTGCTTTGTAGCAGAACTCACAGTAATTACTCATCTCTTAAAAATACAATTTGCGGATATGAAGTTGACAATACATTTAAGCATTCTTGTGAGTCTAGACATCAACAATGTGAGTTTTTGTCACTCTTTCACTGACTTCTGCTGTTCATAACACCTCATCTTTACAATGATATTAGATCAGAGCATGGACATTTAATGGACACATCTGAAATAATTACAAACACAATTTTTTAAAACTCCATTGTTGGGAGGGAAGAAATAAGAACTTGGGTTGGTTTGAGGTATCCAGCCCTCAGGAACATATTCTGGTTGTTTGCATCAAGCTTTGTTGGTTTTATCACGTGTTACATTTAGATTAAAAATAGAAGGCACAGGTGTTTTACAAGGCGCCGTAATTAAGTCAACCAACAAAACTAAGYATTACATTACCAAGCCAGGGGTCTATATCTCAACAGTGACTTCTTCCAATGCATTTTCACTTGAGGAATTTATTGCTTCTGAAAAGGGGCCGGGGTAGGTCTGTGCTGAGCAGTTCATTCCTTGTGCCACACTGATGTCTCCTCGGGAAGTGAAGGTAGGGCAGGATCTAGTCCGTGCATAGTTTTGTTGGGGTCCAGCTTGTCCCACCATCTCACTCACAGTGTTCACCGGTGAAGCCCTCCAACTCTGTCTCTGCAGTTGCTCTTCCTTACACTTTATGGAATACCAGGCCAGGAAAATAAAAAAGAATCCCACAAACTTGAGAGCAGCTGCCAACCCAAAGTAGACAAAACGAAACGAGGTGACATCGTATTCCCAACACGATCCTTGGACGCCGCAATCCTGTTGCCAAAGCATGCACGTGGTGTCAATAACAGCCCCAAAATAAATTGGAGTGGGAATGTAAGCTGAAACAAAAATAGCAAGAGAAATAATATGTGTWAGCATATTGTGGAAAACTTCTAAAGAAACTATATGCCTAAGCCAAAGAGCGTAGGTCGAACATTTTTGAGATTTCTACACTGCTGTTCTCACATGAAATGTAAAATATGGAAAACTGGTCAGCCAATCTTCTCACCAACACTCCTTACCTGACACGTGAAACCTACCAAAAATGGGAGAGAACTCAAACAAAAAAAAYAATGCAGCAGCACCTTTCAACAGGTACTCCAATCTGCTGCCCCCTGAGAGCTCTTCTTGAGCTACATGTTCCCCCCCAAAAAAATCCAGTTTTGCTCTCACGAAGCAAAATATGAAAGAAGGTGAAATACATAATTTCCATAGCATTACCTGTTGAACATGCTTTGCCCATGAGCTGGGAAAGGTGCTGTTTTTAGATTAAGGAGAAAAAGCACCAAAGACCACAAAATGTTTTTGAAGATAGATGAAAGTGGTAAGACCACTAAGATTATAAATTTCCTTTTGAATAGATCTTCCTAAGAAASAGACTTTTACTTCTAAGGCAGCAAAAAATGCAGCCAGTCTACTGAATGCTCCTTCTTTCTCCAGTAATATATCTTCAAGATGAGATTGAAATGTCCTTCCTGAAACAAAACTTGAAGATGCAGCTCTATGGGCTTCTCTTGTTCTGTTAGAATAGACCTTGCTTGCTCTAATCATGTATTTCATAGTAGCTGAACACCTGGAGTGTTCTTTATGGGCAGGATTTTAGAAATTCAAGAGCTTGAAAGAGACTGCTTTGAAAAATAAAACTTCTGACATGTCCTTTTTTGCTTTGAAACACGTGAAAGGCATTAAGTAATATTAGAAGAAAGACGTTCAGACATTAAGTAACAAATGCTTATTTTTTAAATTAAAAAAGCTATCGTTATTGCTGAAAGCAAGAAAAATCTGTTTTTAAAAGAGAAAAATCCTTATAAAATAATATTTAGTAACTATTAATTTTTAAACACAATTTGAAACTGTAAAAATGTATCCTTCTGGGACAACAATGATGTTCTAGAAAGTCAGTAACCAAAAAAAGAAAATTAGCCACATTTTCAGATGCAATGCYTTCAGAAGCTATTAATTTTAGGTCCTTAATACAGTTAGTGAAGCAATTAATTGCAGATTTATGGAATTTTAATACATTTATGATGCATTTAAGCTGAACATGGCCTTTATGGAAATGCTGAGCTACTGTAAGACTTACCAAGAGTTCTTAATAAAACAAACTGCATTCCTAGTGCAAAGGGCCGTTCCCCATCTTCCACAGACCTAGCAGGTGAAAAGAAACTCCAGTGAAGAAACAGTCATAACTGATAATCATCCTGGTATTTTCTGGCTCTACCTCATGGCTTTTTTCTGAGCTGTAGGAAATCTTTGCCTGAATTCCTTCTCTTTAGCTTCTACTACTGTTAACTCCTATTGCTGAGAAAAAAGAACCAGCCAGCCTCTCCTGAACCTGTATAGTCAAAATCTCAGTCATGCCTTTTGACCTTTCTTTACCTGTGAAAGGCCTGAAGAATTTGATCCAAGTCCTTTAAGGAAATTTAGAGAATCCACACAAAATGTTTATGGCTTCTCTTGATAGCTTCCTATTAGTTAATGTTGTAATTTATTTTTCTTAATATTTTTGAGATAAATTTGAAGTAAGAGATACCTAAATTACTGAAAGCTGGACTCAGTTTCTGAATTTAACAGATCTCTGAGTAGCATAAGCACTTTGGACTACTTTAGGAAAAACATCAATACAAACATCCAAACAGTCTCTTTAAATACCTTTTCAATTCAAGTAATATAATATTTCTTTCACCGGKTCCAAAGGAAAAATGTCAAGCTTACAAACACTAAATACAAAGTAACAAGATTCCATATTGCAACTACAATTTTAGTACACCACAAATAATCTACTGATTTAAAAACATTTTTAATTCTTAATCTCAAGGTYTTAAGATAGACAACTTCTAATGACATTGAAATACACCATAAAAACACAWGTAAAGTCTGCAGTCAAAGGGATGCAGCTGTAAAATCAAGTTCTGAAGTCGAGAAATTGAGAAACTGGAGAACCARCTTGGGCCACAGACCTTGGACCAATGCACTGAGTACAGTATGTGGTTTGGGACAGCAGGTGTCACTGTCCATTTGTGTGGGCCACCATTTTTTATACTGAGTATTACTAAATCCTGATGGAGATGGCCCTTATGTACCTCACTATTGTGAGGTCCACTGCAGTGTGATGTTCATTTGCCTTTGCATAATTGCAATGCAAGGGCAACRTTTTTTTATTAGTATTATTTTATAAGTGGAAAACCCAGAGACACAAGGAATAAAGTCTGATATCTCTGAATTACAATGGTGCTGTGCACACAGTAGTTAAGGCAAAGCTGAGCATCTGGAATTCTGATGTGCAGCCCCGAGTGCCTGGCTTCAATGTCCTAACAGCAACCCTTACACCCATGCTGTGGATTTTCTGAAAAGCAAACTGGAAGACAAAAGTGCTGTGTGACACAGCACAGTCCTCCACGTGTCAGTAGCAGGGTCCTGCACAAACCTAAACCACTTGAGCTGCCAAAATGACAGCAAGAGAGTGCTTGTCCTTGGAGGGGGTAAGACAAAGATTCCTGCCAGAGGGCTTCTCCGCTGAGCTCAYGACTGAGCCTAAGGATAGCAAAGCTAAGTCCTGACCTGTCTCATGTTTTCCAAGGTTCYGTGACCTGTTACAAAGATGTGCCATTATTATTTTTAGAGGGGGCTAATTGTGTCCCAGAATATCAAAGTGAAGCCTTAAAGACAACACTACCAGAAGGAAATCCCACTTGGTTGGGATTTTCTCACAGAAATAAAAGACCCAAGACTGGTTTATAAAAAGGCTCAATTTGAAGACAGATTTTACACAAAACCAGGACAAAAGGTGTCTATGTTAACAATTAATGCAGCTAAACAGCTAGTGMTGAGACCTGACATGTAAACCACAAGCATTTCAAGCATTTGTAGGGATTTACTTCAGATCAGCTCTAACCTGGTCTSATGGACAGGATGCCCATTTGCATCTGGATCATTTTGGGTGTGCTTCTGAAGAGTACCTCAAACATGGAAGAGGCTTCCTAGAGAGGTGGTCGATGCCCCATGCCTGTCAGTGTTTGCACAATGCCCTCACTAACAGGTTTTCATTTCTGCTCAGTCCTGCAGTGGTCAGGCAGTTGGACTGGATGATTAGAGAGARTATTTACCAGAGCATGTAGGGACAAGACAAGGGGCAATGGCTTCAGACTGAAAGAGAGTAGGTTTAGATTAGATATTAGGACAAATTCTTCACTGTGAGGCACTGAACAGGTTGCCCAGAGAAGTGGTGGATGCCCCATTCCTGGAAGTGTTCAAGGATGGGCTGGATGGAGCCCTGAGCAAYCTGGTCTAGGAAAGGTGACACTGTCCAGGACAGCAGGCTGTAACTATGTAATTTTTAATGTCCCTTCAAACCCCTTCAGATTCTATGATTCTGTGCTCATTGTAGGCCTCTTCCAACTCAACTATTTTTTTCTACTTTTTCCATCTTCCAGTGCATTCCCATCTGAAAAGAACTAACTTCCTGAACCCTGAGCTCAGAGTTTCAGATCCCAAACCAAACAGACATCTTTAAACCATTCTTTGTCCTCCTGTTACCAGCAGAACCAATGATTATAGGTATGCTTTGTAACTTCTAGTAAACAATTATATMATTTTCCTCTAATTCCTCTTCCTTTTTAAACAGCAGCATCATAGATTATACAAATACAAATTTATTTTAGCAGTAGACCATATTATGGTTTTTCAGCTCACTTTAAAAATCAGCAGAATTTCACTTACATGAACGGTATTTTAAATGGACAAAGAAGTTAAAGACTAGATGACAGAGATGGGAAAAGCCAATTCAAAAATATGAATGCYTTTTTTCAAACTGACAAATAAATACCACTGCCTTTCTCCTACAAAAGTGGTGTTGTTCTTGATCCTTATGCGGYAATAAAACCATTACTATTGTACAAATCCAAAATTCTTGTGAAGATAAAAGGGAAAAACCATGCATGTGGCAGGAATGARCAATTTTAAGGATGAGAACAGGATAATTTTAAATACTAACATTTTTCATTTGCATTTGAAAATCCAAACCATTGCTCTAAGGCTGAAAATGTTTCAGGAGTTATCATTTTCTTCCACGATGTTTTGCTTGCTTTCTCTTTAGAGCACCTGGAATTCACTGCATTCTTTGTGTTTCCTAAAGTGGATTATTATATTACATATTCTAAACACAAACAAGTCTCATTCTATCCCKATCAGCCCTATTCTATTCACTTTTTAAAGACACACAAGCTTGACAGGCACTGGTGATAGCAAGCACAGCAGAAATTCTTACAAAACATAACAGAGTTCTCACCTGAGAGTCACTATGACTGCTGATGGCTGGGCACATGCTGTAATGAGGGTTACAATGAAGAGAAAGATGAGGAATGGGATGAGCGTGTTGCAGGTCCGATCGCACTTCCCAGACACAGCGTAGCCGTTCTCGTTCAGGTAGGTTTTGACAATCACCAGCCGCAGCTGACTGCGCTGGCCCACTGTGGGCGGCGTGATCACCTGGCGGCTCTGCACACAGGCACATTCCGTGTAATTTCTCACCTGGGAGAGCAAAAAAGAACATTTCCACGTGAAAAATATGTGTCAGAAAAACACTGCACCGAGACATCATACAAGACTCCCATGGTTCTTAATAATTGAGAATCTTCTGCCTTGAACATCATTACCCCAAGCACAACCCAAGTTACCTCTCCAAGCAATTTTAAAGCTGGCCAGGATTCTCTGTGATGAGGTTGCCTTTCCACTGCTTTATTTAGTCTGAGTTTTAAAAGAAAATCTGGAATATTTTGGGGAAATATTGACAAAATAATTCAATCAATTCTGACAGGGAAGCTGGAGAAAAATATTGTTTCTATCTTACTACAAAAAGTGTGAGGAAGCGCTCTTCAGGCATCGGTGACAATGCCTTATTCTGAAATTTAGCAAGCTGCTGACTTTCATATGCAGGCAGTGTCTTCTGCCATGTAAAAGGAAGGCTACCCAGATTGGCCAAAGGGCAAAAAGCTGCACTTCAAGCTCAGGACCTTCCACCTGGATGTGGGTGTGGATGTGGACAAGAGCAAAACCAGAGAATAAAAGGAGAGCAGAGACTAAAACAATGAGACTGAAGAACACGAGGGATTCCTGAATGGACAAAGAGAATGAAATTAAGATGWAGAGACTGAATAAGCATTTCATAGGCAAAGGGGACTGTGACTTGAGCAAGGTGAGAAGAACTAGATCAAAAATAGCCTTCTTTCACATTTATGCTTCTTGTGCTTTTATCTAATCTAATGGCAAAGGATTGTGCAGCAAATCACAATATTTCAATGCTAGAGAATAAACTGGTCAGGACATATGTGATRTTACAGGAAGGAGTTTTTTRYTTCAATTTTTGCACTCATCAAACCMTGGACCACACATGCACAAAAGCTACAAAATCATCTTAAGATTGTAAATTTAAGCACTTAAACATCAGGACATACCCAAATTATTGCTGTTTGTCAATTTTAATGTATACCTTTATATGTATCCAYGCTATCATGTAGCCTCACACTTTCTCCCCCATGGAATTTAGCTGAACATCTTAATAATGTATGTATTCATCCAGTATTTTACCTCCCGTTTTCAAAATGCGACTTCAGATATTTTTTTCCTCACACGAAAATTATTCCACTACAAAGATGGAATGATTCATATTTCATTTGGATTTTTTCTGTAACACTCACTGTTATAGCTTAACTCTTTCAAAAAGKAGTCATTTATCCTCAAAACAGTTAYGAGACATTGATATTGTTATCTCTATTTTGTAGTTCAGTAATTGAAACAGTTCAAAAATTTTACAAACATGAGTGACTAATTTGAGACAATTGGAATTCTTTTTTTCAGAATATTTTCCATGATACCAAACGAAATATTTTCTAAATGTAACTTTTCATGCCTTCAAATACAGATTCAGGCAGTGCATCTGCAAGTGGCACTTCTGGTTGTTGCTCATGCTCATCACCCAGAATATGAAGAACACAAGACTAATGACCAACTGGGAGAAATTCTATTTAAGTGACTTGTCCACCATCWCTTAGAAACAAAGCCAATGACAAATTCCCATCTCCCAAGGCAGCACTCCACTCTAATATCACATGAGTATGATTGCTTTCTACAGTTCTTCACCCTAACCTCCTTATTGCTTCCAAATGTAAATGYCAAATAGGCATCCTACAGAAAGTATCTTCAATATTGATTATTCATCACCTGCRAAACCAAATCTGTGTATTAAATGAGACAGACATAGCATGACAGAAATGTTGGAGAATAGGAACATATATATGTATAAATATATATATATATAACAGGTATGAACTGCACACTGATACCTTTTCCTCTTACTTCGAACTTTTAAACAAATTATTTTGAAAACASTCCATGTTATAAACTTAAATCCAAATTTTTACGTTAGCAACATTTTGTATATTATATAGTGGCATTAACTTACATCTGTTGTTTTTTGAAGTACCCTACCAAAAATTATTATTTAATTTTAAAAAAGCCTTTTCCAAGCAATGTCAGCCCTATTCTATTCACCATTAGCTAGTGAGTTAGAACTTCAGGCCATGAAGCATCTTTTTTCAAATCAAAAGATGGGATAGGTATGTTTCAGAATCTGTAGTGAAGAGCATACTTTCCCAGAGTATTTCCCTACTAAATAAATAAACGGTGCCAGTTCTATATCAGGTGAAATGCAATGAAGATCAAGCCTMTGTCTCAATCCAGGAAAGCACAAATTAGATCATACAGACATTGAAATTTAACCACWGGCTCACACTGCAGGTTTTTCCAATTGGTCAAAATTATTTTCCACTAAAAACCAGCAAGATAATCTTAAAGGGGAAAAAGAAAAAAAAAAAAAACATTTAAAGGGAACTAATCTGTTCTCAGTGGCATCCATGAATGAACATGCTTTTTCAGACCACTATCCAGGTGACCTGAGAAAGCACAGTGCTGGACCTAACATCCTCCTTCTTCACAGGCTGGCTCAGGACTGCAAATGAGGACACTGATACTTTTTAAGTAAGTTTTCTGGAAAGCACAATCAAGCCCTGAGAAAATCAATGTTTACATCACTTCTTGTCTTTCTTAATTATCCTTTTTTAAAGGACAGTTCTGTAACAGAAGAATTTAAGAGTTCTTTTTCTTTTTATGAAACTACTATGMCCATAATGCTCTGTTCATATTTACAGCAGATTCTACTTTTCAACTGTCTCCTTGTGCCCAGTCCTGGATACAGCTAAATTTCCATGGTTTGAYTTTACCAGCAGGATGTCCTTCTCCAGTCCAGCATAACTGGAATACTGGGCTGTAACAAGCAACGTATTTCCAAGAAAGAGAGTGGATTATTAACATCTTTAAAGGTCTGGTTACTTGAGTTTGGTGACAACCTTCATTTAGCCTGGAAGAGGTTTAGAAAAAAACCATTGGTCAAACTGTTTTACAGGAGGAGAATACACAGGCAGTCTTTACCCAGCCAAGCAAACGAGAGACTTATCAGTGCACTGGTGCAAGTGCAAGAGCTACTTAGGCAAAATGATTCAGCT